TGAATTTCACTGCTTCTGACCCTGGCCACTCCAAAGATGTTAGTCACCGGAGCCCAGTTCAGGAGACAAATCGTTCCCATCGAAAAAGACGGACTCAGGAAGACCTTCAAGAATTGATGTGGTGCTATCTTATAATAAGTGGCACCACCGAAATTCGAGTATTTGTCCCTAAGGAATCGGGTAGAAACCTCGGATAAATACTTAAAAAAAACTCCGACAAGTAGCCTTGTCGTGTTTAATGGTGGACAATAATAATAATAATAATGATGATGATGATGATGATGATGATGATGATGATGACGAAAATATTTACCGTAAAATTTGTTGTTGTTGTTTGAATTACAAACAAAAAAAAAATTAAAAAAAAAATTTAAACGATACGAGGGGGGTGAGAAGAGATGCGTAATAATAGTAATAATTAATATTTATTTCGAAGGGGTTGGAGGGGAGGGGGGTTATTACAAAAACAAAACCCCACACGCGTGAGTTATATGTATTTTTTTCAACCGACAGATTTAAATTTATAAACACGCAGACGAGTTAAATCACATAAAAGCAGAAGAAAATTTTTTTTTTTTTATACCTTGAAAACAACAAAACTCGTAAAAGCTCATGTACGAAAAAAAAAATTTTTTTTTCGTTTTAATTACATCCGGAAAATTTTCTCGTAAAGGAAAAAAAAACAAAAAGGAAAATTTTTTTTTTCTCGACAAATTTATTTAATTTAAAATGAAAAACAAACAAACAAACAACAAACAAATTTTTTTATTTATAATTTAATAAGACGTTGAGTAATGATAATAATAATAATAATAACATACAATTTATAAAAAATTTTCAAACTTAAAAATTTATTTATGGATTTGTGAATTTGAAAATGAAAATTTAAAAAAAAAAAAAAAAAAATTTTTTTTCATTCATTTACGCATCGGTTCTTTTTACATTTATTCACACACACGCACATGCACGCACGCACGCACACACACACGCACACTTTCATTTTTTGCGGTTTATAAAATTCTTTTTATTATCATTATTATTATTAATATTTTCAAACTAACTAACTAACTAACTGGATCGTAGCTGCTTTCATTGTACAAAACTCTCACTATTTAAACTTTTGTTATTTAAATAATTTTTTTTTTTTTTTTATTCGTTTCAGATGTAAATTATTTAAGGCCCAAGATTATGAAGAAAAAAAAATAATTAAATCTTCACAAATATATATTAGAGGGAAAAAAAATGTATTTCGGCCTTAAAACTTAAAAAAAAAAAAAAAAAAAAAATGAATTTCGAAATCATCGACTGAACAAAAATTGTACAGAACAGAAAAAAAAAGTAAAAAAAAAAATGCCAAGAAATATAACGAGTTCGGCTTTTATGAAACCTTTCGTCATATTGGCTTTACCTGGAATGTATTTATTTTATAAATACAATCAATATAAACAACAACAACAGGAACAAAGCAGAAGAAAAGTAACGGAAAAAGAATTGGCTCATCTCAATCATAAAATCGTAAGTTAATTATTTAATTTTTTGTACCCGACATTTTGTTTTTTTTTTTTTTTTATCTCGCGGGGTTCAAAGGTTTTGAAAACATTCGAGAAATTTTTTTTGTCGTTCTCTCGTCCTTTTCATAACCACAAAACAATTTTTTTTTTTTTTAAATTAAAGTCATATTTCATTTTTTTTTTTTTTTTTAATGTCTGACCAAAAAATGATAGAATCAAAAACGAAAAAAAAAAAAAAATTGTTTGTCGAATATGCGTGAAACCAACCAAAAAAAAAACTCGTTTTCGAAATTTTTTCGAAGAGTGAGAGAGAGGGAGGAGGGGGAAATAGTCTTTTTGCATCACACTGAAAATTACAAAATTGCATAACTTTTTTTTCTAAGGGAAAAAATTAATATTTTATCAATGGCGGTTTTTTTTCATGGCAATTTTAAATAAGTTCAGGTGATAAGACAGGTTAAAGAGTAAAAAAAATTTTTATTGTTGCATTTTCACACGTTGTATGCAAACATGAATTTTTCCAAAAAAAAAAAAAAAAAGAAAAAAATAATAGTAATAATAATAATAATTTTAAAAATTCTATAAAAAAAAAATACCGACTAAAAATTTTTTTTTTTTTTTTTTTTTTGTTAAATTAAATTAAATTCGTTTGAAAAAAATCATCTGCAACAGCAAAAACAGGGTGAGTTCGTTCGGGGGGGTCCGGATAATTTTTTCGGTACCGCATGTGAGCATATATCCGTGGGTATGCATGAGGGACAGGGAGGACACGGAGTTTTCGATATGAAAGGTTTTTCCGACGTGAATTTTTCCTTCAACGGTTCCTCTTTCGTTTCGCTGTTAAATTCTTCGAAAAGCCTTTCGGCTTTCGCTATGTCTTTTTCCAATGATACCATACCCATGCTCAATAATTCCAATTCGTAATCGTGTAATTTGGGAAGACCGAAATTAGCAATGGCTCCTTTACTCGAAGTACGAACTTCGCTCGCAAAATATTTAACCTACGTATGATTTTTTAATATATTAATGTATTTGAGTCGTAAAAGGTTCGTTTTCAAAATCTTACTCGACCAATACCTGACTTAGCACGTTCGAACGTACAAACGCCGTTTGTTTTGCACAATTACAAGTACACAAACCAGCTGCCAATGTTAATACGAATCTCGTTATGGCAAATGCCGTAGATAGTGGAGCATCCGTTTTCATTTTGCTACAACCGCTCGGTGCTTCTAATATCCCACTAACCAACTGTTTCATTTCTGCCTGTTTCCAATAAAAAATCAAAAAGTTAGGTAAATTTAAATTATTATTATTAAAAAAAAAATAGTCGTAAGTGAATACTCACGAGTGTAAATTCGGAATAAGGTTTAGCATGAGATAGTAAAGGTACGGCTGTTAAATTAGATGTTCCTCCCACAATGGGCACTCTAACGGCAGCTGGATCAATACCCAAATATTCTCCGATAATCGTATTCGCTCTCATTTCCATTAGAGAACAAACTCCGAATATTTTATTCGGATCGTAAGCACAGCAAAATCTCATCGCCTTGTTTTATAATTATACACGAAAAAAAAATTATTTACGTTTTCGAATAAAACGCGGGTAATAAATTTCAAAAAAAAAAAAGAAAAATTTACCTCGGAAAACAAAGGTACCATTATATTTATCGGGGGAGTTATTATGCAAACCAAAGCTTCCGGACAAATACTCGCTATCTTAATACCGTATTTATATATAATTTTTGCATTTTCACGTAGGGATCCTTCATTTTCCTCAACGGGTTTATTATAACCATTTGTTATTATTATTATATCCGAATGCTGAATCAAAATAATCGATATGAATAAGAGGTCACAACAACGAAATTAAACAAAATGTTTTACTTACCCTTAAAGCATCTTTCATTCCATGTTCACCCGTGTTTCCCTTAACTTTACATTTGGTACTTATATGTTCTAAATCTAATGCGACTCCCCGTACGTTTTTCTCATCGTAAAGTGCTAAATTCCTTATAACCTCTTGACCTTTTAATAAAAAAGCTAAATATTGACCTAAGGGATTCGCGGATCCCAATATTGTCACTTTATCAACTTGTGATTTATCATCCGGTGGCGGACATTTTCCTTTACATTTTCTAAATCTTTTAAAATATTTCAATACCGTTTGTGTCGTTTTTTTTTTCAAACTCCTTGCAACAAACATTTTATGTATGTGTGTGTGTGTGTGTCTTTGTCGTGTCTCCCTAAAATTCTCTTTTTTTAATTTTATTTTTATAATAACAACAACGTGAAAATTTTATTTATAAAAATATTTATATACATATATTAATATTATTATTATTAATTTAGAATTTTAAAATTTTATTTTTTCCGAATGTGAAAAAAAAAAAAAATATTATGTATTTTTATGATGAGAATGAAAAAGGAAATGAATGTGTGGTGGCAGCATTGGTTGGTTTCTATGGTGATATTAACTGTCAACGTTTCCGTTTCGTTAGATTTTCTTTAATCAAAAAATTTACGTAAATTTCAGGGAAAAAAAAAAAATTTAATAATAATAATAATAATAATAATAATCATTAACTTTTTATTTATTTATTTATTTATTTTCTTTAATACGAACATGAGGGAAAAATGTTTTTAATAACATAATAAACACGTTAAAAGATTATTTAAAAAAAAGTACAATTAGAAAAATTATAAAAAGACGAAGATAGAAAGAGATAGAAAATTTTTTTTTTTTTTAATAAATTAATTTAATTACAATTATTAAAGGGAGAGAGAGAGAGAGAGAGAGAGAGAGAGAGAGAGAGAGAGAGAGAGAGAGAGAGAGAGAGAGAGAGAGAGAGAGAGAGAAACAAACAAAAAGTTTTTTTTTAAATTTCGTCTTTTTCATTTTAAAATAAAAAATTTTTTTTTTTTATTTTTCAAACGCGGATATCGTAATAAAAAAACCGTCGTAATAATAAATTTTATTATTATTATTATTATTATTATTATTATTATTATTATTATTATTATTATTATTATTATCATTATTATTACGAATTGAACGTAAACAAGATTTATTAAAAAAAAAAAAAATTTTTTTTTAGGGGTTTATATTATTTAAAAAAAGAAAAAAAACACGTAAATTATTAATATTATTATTTTTATTATTAATAAGTAATTTATAATAAATAATGATGATAATATATATAATCAAAATCCTTACATATAAATAAATAAATAAATAAATAAATAATGGAACGAGAGAGAGAGAGAGAGAAAGAGAACGATAAAAACACGATCCGAATGTTAATAATAATCATAATATAAATAACGTTTTTGTTTGTTTGTTTGTTGCGTTCGGTTGTTTAAATGACGTACATATATGACGTAAAAAAAAAAAAAATTCAGGTACTATTTTATTTCCAACGGGAAAAGTGCGGGGGGGGAGGGGGAAATTGTTCGGATTTAAACAAATTTCAATCCAAATGGCGGACGATCGTTTGTCAATAAATAATGTTTTCCGTGATGTCTATAAATAAATAAATAAAATTACAATCGTAAAAAAAAAAAAATTTAATTTTAATTTAATATTATTATTATTATTATTATTATTATTTACTTACTTGGGATGTGCAACGTAACCCATGAAAGCGGGTTCGACGAAAGAATTATTGCATTCGTTTTTCATAAAATTATCAAAACTTGAACAACTATAAGATGGAAATGCATATTCGTTGTTAACGGATTCTGCATAATATGCCCATGCACGATTGTGACTGCAAGCAACTATTTGGAGAAGAAAGAAAATGTCTCCCCGTTAAATTAATTTGAAAGTGAAAAATTTAATTGAGTGTATAACTAAAACACTCACCGACTTCTTCCGGATGACCTCGTCTGGATAATTGACTCAATCTGCATCCCGGTTGAAGAGCTACACCACCATTGGGATAAAAATCAACGTGACCTATAGGATTTGGAAAACCGAAAACTCCACCGTCCGTGTGTATGACGTCGACAAATTTAGCATCGGTTTTTGTCAAGTGACCGACATCACCCTGGAATATGTAAAGAGGAAAAGCGGGATCCAAACCTGGAAATGGGAAAAAAATTTCATTTTACAACAAACCTCATGTTTACGGCCGAGAAATTTAAAAAAAGGGTAATCGTACCTGTGATTCGTGGTAAAACATTTTTTCCAAGAGCTTTTCCGGTAAATCCGGCAACTTCGGCTCCGAGACTAAATCCAATTAAGTGTACGTCATCGATGGGTATTACACGAGAATTGTGTAGGAATTTTAAAAAACGTGCCAAGTATTTACCAACGAGTCTAGTGTTTTTAACGGCAGCAGCGTAATAAGGAAACGAACAAAGCGAACCCCAATCGACTACTATCATATTCACGTTTCCTTTTTCCAGATAAGCTAAAGAATAAAAAAATAAGAAGAAAAAAAAATTGGATTACATTTAAGAATTTTGAAACGTGCGTGACTAATAATATAGGTCGGAAATCGGGAGGAAGAGGAGGAGAAGGGGGAGAGGAAGAAGAAGGAAAATTTTTGATTTTTTTTTTTTTTCCAATGTGACCCGTTTGGTATTTTTTTGCAAAATTTTTTTCCTACTGACCGTGAAACTTTTTTTTTTTTTTTTTTTTTTAAAGACGATTTTGAATTTTCTTTTCAGGAGAAAGAAAAACAAAACCCATTAATTTTTAAAATTTTGATTCATGATTTAATCGATAGTGGTAATAATAATAATAATATTTTTCCGGCATATAAAGTTCAAAACAAAATAATTGTCCCCTTTTGTTTTTCATATGAGGAAAATTTATATTATTATTATTATTATTATTTGTTTCATACCGTTTTTAACAGTTCTTGCACTTAATCCCATGGCTCTTTCCGTAAAACCGTGTACGTAAAAAACGGTAGGATTTGATGGATCTAAATATGAATTACGTATTGATAAAATGTCATCAATTACCAGTTGCTGTGGCAATTTCGGATTGTTCCTATTAATCGACATATGCAATAAATAAATAAATTAATAAAAATTTTATTTTTTTTCGTCTGCTACGTACGCGGCATAAAATTAACATTTAAAAAAATTTGTACCTGGTAAATAAATTAAATGTTATATCGATATCCTTTTGTATGGGACAACACATTCTGCAATCACCTTTTGGTAAATATCGGTACGAATATATGTTTCCGCCTAAAAAAGAAAAAAATCATAACGAATTAGTTTTAAACCCGGTGGTAGAGGGGGAGAGGGGGTGAGTGGGTGGGGGGTAATATAACGTAAGCAAATATTTATTACGTCATTGTATTTTTGTGCTGTAATAATTTGCGTGTTGGAAATAAAAAAAAAAAAAAAATGTCGTAATGTACGTTCGCACCGAAAAAAAAAAACGAATAACGTTATTTATATATACGTACTAATAAGTTATTATTATTATTATTATTATTATTATTATTATTATTGTTGTTGTTGTTGTTGTTCGAAAATAGATGGGAAATAATAATTTTTTTTTTTTTACTTCCTCGATTTGTTTTTGTTTTGTTTTTGTTTTTCAGGTTGTTTCGCGTTCGCGAGCCTGAAATTTTTTTTTTATTTTAACGATAATGATAATATTTTTTGTTTATAGAAAAAAAAAAAAAATTTCAGGCTCGATCGATCGATCGGGGTGGGGGAAGGAGGGGGATTAGGTTTGATAAATGTTCGATTCGTTTTAGCACGACGTGCAAAAAAAAAAATTTGTTTCATTTCATTCAAATACAACGAAAATGAATGACGTGGAACAATCACATAATGACGTAATCGTTTATATTTTATTATTATTATTATTATTATTATTATTAAACGTATCGAATATCGAAATTTATTACGTAAGACACAAAAAAAAAAAAATAAAAACAAATCACATTTATAATAATAATAATAATAATAAAATTTTTAAAGGTAACAAAAAGAAAAATAAAAATAAAAAATGTCTTCTCTTAATCTAATTAGATTAATAACATTTTAAACTGATTAGAAAAGAAAAGAAAAAGAATTCGTCGAGTTATTTTTTTTTTCTTTAAGATCATCGATTTTTATGTTTTTTTACTGTTACTACACCCCGGCCCCCGCCCCCCGCGTTATGCATAAAAATTATTATTATTATTTTTTTTTCAACCGGAAGTACATTCATAGTAAAGACAGTAAAATTCAGTACTCGTTAATATTTATGTATATAACTTACCGATAAACATGCTGTATGTAGAACAAATAGAAACCATTTCAAATCCGAAAAGAGCAAGAAGCCCCATTTTGTCCCCTTTTTTGTTTGATATTATTATTATTATTATTACTACTACTACTACTACTACTACGTTACCTTAAACGAGTTTAAATGAAAAATGAATTGTAAAAGTCTTAACGAGAGGCTTTTTAACTAAAAATAATAAACAATTTAAATAAATGAGGAGAAGTACCTTCAAGGTTTTATAAATAAAATTTTTGCCGAAATTAAAAAAAAAAAAATCCACATAATAAATGCATTAAAATAAAATAATTTTTTTTTTTTAAATAAATATGGCCGAAGGCTTTAATGTAAAATACGATTTTTATTTATTTACAGGACAAATTATTGACAAAATTAGAAGAAAATGAACCCGAAATGGCGACATCGCAAGAGGATGAGGTATTTTTATTCAATTTTTTTTTTTTTCTTTCCAAATTATTCATTGAGTCTATAATTAATTAATTAATTAATTTAATTTCGCAGTCGTTATTATTATTATTATTATAAATTTTCCAGTGCGTCATATGCGTTAATGCGAAAGCAACAATGCAAACTTCACCCTGCGGTCATAGAGTCGTCTGTCGTAAATGTTTCGTTAAAACTATACAAATGGCCGTGTCACAACGTCTCCTGCCACTTCGATGCGTTATATGTCGTGCCAAGATACTCAGGCTTAAACAAAGTTCCGGACACGGAAGTATATCGTATTCGAAATCCTGGCTCATGCCATCTTCTGCATCTTCCTATTCCATGTCTGCCAAATCTTGGAACGCGGGTTCCAGCAAACAATACTGGAACGATAAAAATTGGGTTCCAACATCTGCTTCGCAATATTCAATGAGTAGTAGAAACGTACCCAATTCCGCTTCCATGTACTCTATGACGTCTGGATCCTCTTCGCTCTCGGGTTCGTATCCCAATTTTTATTTTTTTTTTTTTATTCGAAAAGTTTTTTCGAAAAATTGATTTTTTATCGATTTTATTGAATTAACATAAACCTATCATTATTATTATTATTTTATATTAAAAAAAATACGAAAAAAGGGGAGGAAAGGGGGGAAAAGGGGGAAGGGGATTAAAAAAAAGTAAATAATATTTATATACACGATTATAATTAAAGAAAATAAAATAAAATTTTTTTTCAACGTGGAATTAGAAACGACGGAATTTTTTTTAAATTTGAATTTTAAGAAATAAAATTCGATAAAATCGATTTTCATTTACGTATAATTTTTTCCTTTTTTTTTTTTTTTTTTAAATTTTTCAAAATTGCATGACGAAAGGGTTTGTTCAAAATTATTATTTATTTTTCTTTTGTGCAATTGGAAACAAATAGATTTTAAAACATTTCTCATGTTTTTTTTTTTTTTAATGTTTAAATAATTATCATTTAATAATTTAAAATACGCAATCAAATATTAAAATGATGAAGAAGAAAAAAAAATTATAAACCGAATAAATTAATGCGGCCGCCACCTCCTCCTCCTCCTCCCCCTCCCCTTCTCCTCTTCCCACCCGTCGCCATTTTTTTTTTTAAAGTTTTAAATTGTTTTTGAAAACACATAAAAATTTAACGTTTAACTTCAGTCAAAAACAATAGGTAACAATTTTTTCCCTTCCTTCCCACCCTCCCCTTTCCCTCCATACTCCCGCACCCTCCCCCTCTTACCCACCCTCATTCCAATGTAGTTAAAAAGGAAAAAAAAAGTTAGACGTTCTTTAAAATTGTTTTAAAATCGTGTTCAACCACGATAACAAAAAAAAAAAAAAAACCTATTCATAAAGGCTAATTAAACGTAATAATAATAATAATAATAATAATAATAATAATAATTTTCATTCTGCTAAAATTTAGGCGGTTTTTAATATTAGGTCAACACACACACACACACAAAAAGAAAGTATTTTTAAACAATAATAAAAAAAAATTGTTTATTGTTTGTCACTATTATTATTATTATTATTAATATGGAAATTTGTATTTAAAAAAATAATAATGATAATAATTTTTTTATCGGCAGGAATGTCTTCCGTTTCTTCTGCCACAAATTCGAGTTTAAGTTCGAGAAGTTCTTCCACATCAACCGGACGTGATTTGCCACTTAGGCAACCCATTGGATCGCTCAGAAAATCACAGCAATATTCAATGAAAGTAATTATAGTGTCCAAACTCCGCCATCTTTTTTTTTTTTTTTTTTTTATCTATTTCGAATTA